TATGTCCGTCGTTTTGGTGGTTTTTATCTTTACCCATGTGTATATTTGTTTGTTTCACGATCTATGCCTCCACCCGCCACGGAGCCCAACAAGGGGACACTGGTGTGACGCGGATATCCAGCGCCAAGTGTCGGAGATACATAGAATAGTATACTCGTAAGAATATACATACTATTTGAAAGAGTATACTCTCGCGATTGACCCTAAGCCACCGCCTTCTTGGGAGTATGTAAACCAAGGGCTTGGCGTGACCAGCCGATTGGTGATAGAGGGCCCATATCACCTCTCGTCTACCCAGAGTCCGAAGCCAAAGCAGTATGTTGCAGAATATCGGATCATGTCTCCTTCCTATCAAGAGTTTGACAGTGATTCCGACTCTGCTCAACTACCAGGATCTTCTTCCCCCAGGAATACGAGATGCAACCCACGGCAAACAGGTTGGCTCAAATTGGAGCTACTGTGAAAGCCTTCTGCTACGATGACGCCCAGCGCGCCACAATCATACCCCCGAAATGATCACATACGCACTGAGCACCAACGTACCCAGCCTCGGGACGTGGACCCAGCTTTCTTGGAGGCTTATTTTAGCGTAAACTAACGAATTTTTCATGTCTATATATTCCATACCATTTTGACCGGAAATGACGAATTCTATGGGTGGATCTCCAGTCATTTGTGATAATGGAAGTATGTCTTGATAGTAAACGTTTTCAACGGCTGTCTATGCAGGTAGTAATTCGAAAAGTTCCAGTTGTGAAGGTTGGGCTTCTCTGAAAAAATCTTCGTTTATTGTAGCCATGATGATAGTAAGTGGTTCTTGGTAGATTTCTTACGTTTATGCTTATGTTTCTGTATGTGCCGTCGCTTTTGTGTAGGCTTTCGCTTTGATTTTTTCTTAATCTGTATCCTTGTAGTAGGTCTGACTTTTCTTGGTGGTTTTCTTTGAGAGGTCTGCACCCTTCGACGTTTCCTGTTAGAATGAGATGCTGTTAAGTTTCTCTTCCTTTTTAACTCTGACTTGGCTTGATCTACTATTTGTTGTGATGTGATACCATGTTAACATCGAGGTTTCGGGTTGGTAAGGCTTTCTCTCCGTCACTGCTATACTTGTCAATGGGAATGATGAAATGAATTCGGTCGTATCGCCTGATATACCGCCTCCCCTTTGTTTTACATCTTGCATATCTGTATAAGGATTGATCTTTCCATCCGTAACCTTTCGATATTACTGTAGCCACTTACCCACATTGGGTACGTATAGGTTAGAAACATTCATCTGTAAAATGGGTAGGCTTTAAAATGAAGTGTAATCGTTGCTGGCTTCTTTAAGAATGAAGCAAAGTTACCGCTGTTGTCTTTTATAGATATTTCTATATCTCTGATTTCTGATTTCTTTACAGGAACGTACTGGGGGGTGTCAAGTGTTTGGCTCCAGCTTGCAACTTTCTGAGCTTTCACCATTCGAAGTAGATTCTGCTTCTCGCCGTCGATTACGGATTCTCCAACAAGATCGCAATGTATGTATACATTTTCTCTCGTCTTTGTATTGACAGTCGTTACCCAGATGTCTACGAGTGCCACATTCCATGTACCATTCAGAGTAATGGGTGATTTTAGTTGACAGCGAAAATGGTATGGTTTGTTGTTGGGGAAGTAGTCGAGATTCTTGTTGTTGTTAATGATTACGTAGTGTGCCATGTTAGCTTTCTGTCATGTCTTTGATATCTTTCTCGGGAATCCATTGGTTACATTTATAGGGCCATCCTTCAAATTGGACAAACCACTCGATTTGACGTCCTCTCCTTCGTTTGCGTATTTTTTTCTCTATAAACCATAAAGTTTTTTCCATCTTTTTCAACTCGTTGTAACTCTGACTGATAAAATTTTCTTTGATAGTATCACCTAAAAAGTCTATCAATTGATACAGTGGTATTCCTTGCTTTAGAACTCTTTTGTGTATCTTGAATATCTCTGAAGACCATTGTTGTTGATAGGCACGCTTAAACAGCTGTTTCGTGTGTGATATACGAACTTAACTTCCTTGAATATGTATGAATTAGTTTTTTTCGTTTTAAATGTCTTTTTCTGATTTTTAAGTTTCTTTTTCCTCAAGTACATGTAAGCAAAAAGATCTGCTTGATTGTTGTCATTTACATCCTTTGGGGCTGTTCCATTGAGGGAGCGGTGGGGTGTGGCATTATACGAAGCGACAAATTTCTGTAATTGGTCAATGTACTTATAGGGTCTATATTTTGTAAAGTAGCGAAATATCATGGTTTTAAATGTTCTATTGACACGCTCTACCATGGGGGCGTGAATTTCGTTTTGTGTAGTAAAATAATGAATGTTATTATCGAGACACCAGCGTTTGAACCAATGGTTATTATATTTTTTGCCTAAGTCTGAATGAATTTTCTTTGGGATTCTACCTCTCTCGACTATTTTCTTGAAGGCTTCTAATACCTCTTTTGCTGTTTTTGTTTTAATAGGTTCGATCCAGAGAAAGCGGCTGAACACATCGATGACCATCAACAAGTACTTTACGCCCGAGTTATGTTTGGCAAGTGATGTCATATCCAATAAATCAGTGTCATGTTGTTCGAATGGTTCTCCTACTTCTACACATGCGCGTTTAAATGAACGTTTTACAGGCTTTTGTAAACTGTAGTCGTCGAGACTTTGAATGTATCGTCTGATCTTATATAAACCCGGAGAGTTAAATCCTTGTGATTTTTGATGTACTTTTGTTGGACTTAAGAATGTTCCACCGTTGTTAAAATTATAATAAATGTCATCCACTCTCTGTTTTTCTTGCTGTGTCAACATTTTCTGTAACGTAATATATTGTAAATGTGAACATTTACATCATTAAGAATATTTAAAAAAGAATAACATTTTGTTAAAATATAAAATAATGATAAAAAGTACGTTCGTTTGCATACAATTTAATGATTTAAACAACCATACTGACAAAATGTTCACATTTACAATATAATATAGACAAGACAGGACAGAATATCACGTTTACGATTTATTGCAGACAAGGTAAAACATCAGTTAACAATTTAATGACAAATACATACTCAAGTTGTTGTCGCAGAAGTCTCCACATAAATGAATAAAAACAATAAATGTTATGGTTTTATAAAGTTATTCTCCACACGATACATAGATTGAATCATTTCATTAATCTTTTTTCTACGCCACAGTTTTTTCAGTTTCCTTTCCCTCCATTTCGGGCATGACACGTTTGAAATATAATTGTTTCTTATCTTATCAGTAACTTTCCATCGATAAATTTCTTCTACAAAATGTTTTAACATATCAGTCTCAGATGAATGTTGGTATACGTGAAAAGCAAACACAAAATTAAATAATGAGTGCAATTTCTCAATAATACTGTGAGTTCTCCATGTCAGGTAAAAAGCTTCAGTCGGACAATGTCTACTTTTTTCACAAACTTTCGAATGTTCCTACTGAAATGTTGTTTTACATAGTTTCCATAACGGAATCGCTCATCGTCTATCAAGTTCTGTAACACGTGGGAAGGAACACAGGATTGAATACAAAAATCGCGCTACAGGTTCTCCGCTTCTAGATGATTGACCGTTGACAAGGCTTCTTCAAAATATCGATCTACTCTGTCTTCACTGTCAAGCATGACACAGTCATGTCCTTGCTGGTTAGCTTGACCCTCTAGACATCCTGTACATACAAAAAGTTTTGATATGATGTCTTTAACGTTTAATGCATAGGCTAGACACAGTAAGTTTTTCACAATCTTCTTGTACGCCTTTTTCTCAATATCATGTTTGATATAAGCATGAAGTCTCTCTTCAAATGTGTGCATTTTGGTAATGTCATTTGTTAGTATACGCAATCTTTCGACCACCTTTTATGTTCGATATCAACATAGTCTGAGAATGTCCATGAGCTTAATTGTACTCCACACATGAAACAGGTGACTTAATCACGTTGTCCAGAAAAAAAGAAACCATTACTGGTAAGTTGGTGTGGAGTCTGACGTATGTGTTGCGGCCAGTCCTTAAATTTTTGTGTTCGATCCTCACACCTGATCATTGACTGATAAACTGGTTGAATCTGGTATGAAGTATGACGGATACAATCTGTTGTAATATCTAACATGTTAATCTCCGTGAATCAAAGCACAAACACACTGTAAACTTTCTGATAGAAAAAGCATCTTTTTAAAAAAGTATCCCGTGATCTGTATACTCTTTCCATCTTTTTTTAAACATATGTATAGCTTGCCTTTGCCTTTTTTAACGATGACTTGACGTGTAATATCGAGACGGCAAACTACTTTACTATACGATATGCTTGTCAGGGTGAGGTCTTCTCTGACTATTCTATCGACAATCTCCTGAGCCATAAGTGAAGTTAAGAAAAGTTTACCTGGTGTATATATATACGAGGTCATGTTCAGTCATGCATCTCCCCTCCACACAGACCCTAATCTGTATCTTGGTATGGATTTATCGTGGACATGACCTGTTTAAATTTTATCCTGTCGTCATGATTTGTTTTAATGAAAGGCTATTTCTAACTATAAACAAATGACCACCACCCTCCACACTATTGTGTATACCCTACTGAGGCGAGGGACGTTAGACATTCCTGTGACGCTAGCTAGATATGTCACCTCTGACCTAAGTCAAGGTGACTCAAAGGTTAAGGTTTCCTCCACACATTCTTGTGACGTTACCGGTGTCACCTCCACACATTTTTGTGGAGGGAGGTGGAGGGTGACCTTGACCTAGATATGCATGGAATGTGTGGAGGGAGGTAGAATGAATATCTAGGTCAAGGTCACCCTCCACCTCCCTCCACAACAATGTGTCGAGGTGACACCAGTAAATACACCCTACTGACCCTGGCTGTTTTCTTCCTAGGTACCCATCCTCATATGACCCTGGCTGTTGTCTCCTTAGGCACCCGTCCTCATATAACCCTGGCTGTTGTCTCCCTAGGCACCCATCCTCATATGACCCTGGTTGTTGTCTCCCTAGGCACCCGTCCTCATATGACCCTGGCTGGTGTGTCTCCCTAGGCACCCGTCCCCATACGACCTTGGCTGTTGTGTCTCCATAGGCACTCGTCCTCATACGACACTGGCTGTTGTCTCCCTAGGCACCCGTCCTTATATAACCCTGGCTGTTGTCTACCTAGACACCCGTCCTAATATGACCCTGGTGGTTGTCTGCCTAGGCACCCGTCCTCATATGACCCTGGCTGTTGTCTCCCTAGGCACCCGTCCTCATATAACCCTGGCTGTTGTGTCTTCCTAGGCACTCGTCCACATATGACCCTGGCTGTTGTGTCTTCCTAGGTACCCGTCCTTATATGACCCTGGCTGTTGTCTCCCTATGCACCTGTCCTCATATGACCCTGGCTTTTGTCTCTCTAGACACCCATCCTCATATGACCCTGGCTGTTGTCTCCCTAGGCACCCGTCCTTATATAACCCTGGCTGTTGTCTACCTAGACACCCGTCCTAATATGACCCTGGTGGTTGTCTGCCTAGGCACCCGTCCTCATATGACCCTGTCTGTTGTCTTCCTAGGCACCCGTCCTCATATGACCATGGCTGTTTTCTCCCTAGGCACCCGTCCTCATATGACCCTGCCTGGTGTGTCTCCCTAGGCACCCGTCCTCACACGACCTTGGCTGTTGTGTCTCCATAGGCACTCGTCCTCATACGACACTGGCTGTTGTCTACCTAGACACCCGTCCTAATATGACCCTGGTGGTTGTCTGCCTAGGCACCCGTCCTCATATGACCCTGTCTGTTGTCTTCCTAGGCACCCGTCCTTATATGACCCTGGCTGTTGTCTCCCTAGGCACCCGTCCTTACATGACCCTGGCTGTTGCGAGGACGTTAAACCCCAAACCAAACTAACAAACCATTAATAGGTTCACATTCATTGAATTAGTTTTGATAATCATTATTCTTCCTATACGATGATCTGTCAGTACAATTTTAGTTTCCATCAGAAGCACCTGTGTAACTTTGTATGACTGGTCAGGAGCCGAGCAAGGACAATTTACTCTTTATGATCTTTCCGATTGGGAAGATAAGTTAAATTAGATGAACGTCAACAGGCCTAATCTAATCTACAGCATTGGTCGTCTTTACTTCCGAGCATCAGTAAATCTGGCTCTTCTACTTTTAAGGTCGGCATTAAGTCTATATGAGCAATCCCAACTATTAAAACCCCTAATGGTTCACTTCGATATTTCATTGAACTTAATAAAACAGGTGAACAGTATCGTAAAATTCTTTTCACATTCAGATCAGAAGCATTCAGGTGTGAATACTGTCTATGACATCCCCTGTACGTGCAACCTTGCAAACGTTGGGCACCGGCATCCGCTTTGGTTATTTTTTCTGTTTAATTTTGAATAACGAGTAACTTTCTAACTTTACTCTCTCCCCCCGGAAAGTAAATTTATTCGTTATTCGTTATTCAGAATTACGAATAACGAATTAACTGTCCAAATTTACCTTGCTAATAATTTAATGGTTTTCCACAGTCAGGTGTTTCCTGCATTGTCATTACGTCATCATTGAAGACTTTTGTGCTTTCACTTTCGTTTGGAGTAAGACAATGCTGTGCTCTTGTGTCTTTTATACATTACTTACTCGTCTGCAGGGGATCCAGAAGAACGAAGAAAGTCTAATAATCCATAAACGAAAAACTTTGCTACATTCAAGAAGTATTTCAAAACATCAACGAGGTGCATGTGAATTCTTTTGTGGATATTATAATCCTTTAATAATTTTAAATGATTGTTTCATTCTGAAGCAATACTCATTCATGCTTTGTAAAGTGCCTTAAAGTATTTTTTCTATGATATTAATGATGGTTGGTGTTTTTGTGCAAGACTTAGTTATAAATACATTTCTAATAGATTCTTGCATGGCTTGATTGAAAGCAGACATGTACAATCTATAAATGTATTAAACTGACGCGTGGGCAATACTAACTTATGTAAAATACGTACTTACATAAGTCTTAAATATTCCTAATTGTCACGTGCAGGAAATTAAAATGAAGCGGCTAAATCAATTTTATATAGCAGACACGTGCACGTATTCATTTGATATAGCAGAAACGTCCTAGAATTAAACGTATTTAAAAAAACACATGAGCAAGACTAAATAACATTAACAGACACATGGGTGATTTAATTATAAACAACAAACACCTGCAAGGCTTAGTTGTTTATAAAACTGCGTGATAATATTACTTATAACACATGAGTGCAATAATTAAATCTTTATGAAAGACACTCGTGCAAGACAAAGTGTACGCAACAGACGCATATATGATTTACTCGTATAGAACAGACTAACAATACAATTATATATAACAGACACGTACATGACTTATTTTGGATATAGCAGACATATATAACAGACTTTTTGCAAACATGACTTTCTGATACATTTAGGTAATATATAAGGGACCGTTGCATACTAAATACCGTATGTTTCTGCAATAAAACTGTTCCTATTCACTGTTTAAATGACGTTTGTACGATTCAAACTATGATTGGTCCATATGAATTTTACTACGAAACGTTTACATTGTATAATGTCTCCGAGAAAAGCCACTTTTATCATATCTTTCTCCAAACAAGTATAATCCAACAGATGTAGAAACGATCAGTAAAACAAAACGCAAATATCTTTTAATGGAAATGCACTTTATAAGCATAAACAAGAATTAAAATGAAGACATGAAATAAACTTACCTTTAATTAAGCAGTTTTTGTTAATAAAATGCTACATTTACAGACTTTAAAACAGCAACTATTGAAAATATTTTAGATATTTACTTAACCGGTGTGATGACTAGGTATACGGTATAATTGTCGATGCCAAACACGTAGGTAAATGAACAGGAATCAAATCAACTCTTTTTTCAGCAATTTAGTCCAAGATTACATTTTAAAACATGACCAGTCACATTTTCTTTTTGAAATACAAACGATTTGCTCTTAAATACAGCTATTTTGAAAAGAGGATATAAAATGTCTTTATTGCAGCAAAACTTAGGTTGTTGAAGTAAAAGAAAATACAGTATTCAAACAAAAACATGCTCTGAATAATATCATATATATATATAGACATATGTCCGTATTTACCCCAGCAACTTATTAACATCTTCAGAATCCCCGGGAATGGACTTCATTCAATACTATTATAACTATTTGATAATTTATAAAAGAAAAAAGGAAAAATATAACTGACAGCAGAGCATCTTAATCGATCATGAGATGGTGAACTGTATATTTAAAAATACGCCAATTTAAATTGTTGTTCTAGTTCATAGAGTAAAGACCAACCCACATGTATATATTCCTATGAAATATCCCTCAGGAATAACGAGTGTACCATGGCCAGTTCGTCTACAATGATAATTTACTTATAAAATATCAGTTTGATAAACAGAAATACCGCCATACTACTGGTATAGTTAACTGTGAAAATGTAGCCTCACTTGCGTGATGTACATTTCATTGATCGCCATAAGGCTTTTGACCACTTCGAACACAAAATATACCCCCACAAATATATATTATATGGATGAAATAGTAATGTTTCTTCTTTTTTTACATCTTACTTGTGAAAAACGATTTCAGATTCTTGTGAACACATAATTTTTGTCCTCGGGATACCTTAATTGGGCCCAAAATATTATATAAATTGTATATCAAGGAATTGTTTGTGTGCATATGACATAAAAAAATGTAAACCAACTACCCCCGCTTCCCAACCCCCAAATAAATACCACAACAAACCAACGAAAAACAAACCAACAAAACCCCCAAAGAAATCATGGACCTAGTCGAACAATGTTCTAGCTTGTTATTGCTATATGACATATAACGGTACATTTAACCAAAACACAGGGATTAAATTTGACAAAATTATGTTAATGAGAAGCCAACATTTCTACAGAGCTAGTAAATGTCAGTAAGATGATAAAATAATACTGCAATAAAGTGAAATATACGCCATAAAGGGGTAATAGTTAACTGCAAACATAAAATTCTATGTAAGCCTGAATGACTTCCCAATGAAATTCAACAAATTATAAACAATAGTAATTATTACCCCCTGCACATTGGGGAGGAGAACGAGGAAAAGGGGATCCAGGGGTAATGAAATTCGCAACTTTAATAATGCATATTTGGACGTTTTCAGTCTACGAAGAGAATATAATTCTAGCATATGTGGGTCTGAAGAAGAATATTGTTGAAATCTTAGCCAATTTAACTCATTTGTCTCCGGCACGAGAGCACATACAGGGTCAGACCAATCTTAGTATAAATTCTGATCCCCATCTAATGTGTATGATTAAATATAGCAATAAGTTTAATTCAAATCTGGCAGAAAGCTTCGGGAAAGAATTTTAAAAAAATCTGATTGCTTCAGGTTTTGCACTAAGTGAGTAACCATGAGTACGGCCCCAATCTGGGGCCAGCATCTTCTTTAGTATAGATTATGATCCTCATCATCTACGCATCAATTAGTAAAAAATCATGTGTAAGTTTTACTGAAGTCTTTTGACGGTTTTCCAGTCCGTGACCCCTTATAACCCTGCACCTCAGCCCCCTTGGATAGGCAGTCTTATCTCGATTAAAGATTCTTATACATGTATGCACCTCACACTGATTATCACCACAAAGTGTCATACAAATCTTCCTGATGGTTTCTGAGGAGAAGTCGAAAATGTGACATTTACCCTAGCGTTATCTTGGGTATATATCTGATCGCCACCATGGGCATATGATTACCATCATGTTTCATCTGACAGACGATTTCTAAGGAGAAGTCTACAATGGAATTGTTTTCGTACGACGGACGACGAAAGGCAATGGCAATAGGTCACCTGTGTGACTCAGATGACCTTAACACTAAACAACGACACTTCGGCTCCTACCTTCAAGATGATATAATAGACCAAAAATACGGATGTGCTATGCATGAAGTATCGACCATCACTGATTAATTTATGAAAGAAACGAACATTACATGGACATTTATACAGAATGGAAAATTAGTTTTCATTGTAGAGAAATGAACATGTAGTTTGTTTAGAACAATTTAAAGGGAGGAATGGGTATGATGGAAATAAAACTATTGACATATTTTTTTGTGCATAATTATTCAAGAAAACGTCATTAGATTAAAAGACAGCAATGGGCTGCATTCGTTAAATGATAAATGACAAATAAATTACCTATAAGGCAAAATGCAAAAGTTGCGACACTCATACCTTTTAATCTTTCGCATACATTTAAATTTTACAGAAAGGTTTGAGTGGTGTCGTCCATAATCAGTATTCTCGGGCATACACATGTGATTGCACCTTTCAAATATTTAAGGAGATGAATTATATCAAAAATAAATTACACTACACTATACAGCTGTTCCGCCGCTGTTCTAATGACAATATAATATCCTTGTACATTTCATTTTTTGTTGTTTTGTGTTTCCAGAGCCAGATCAAACAGGCTAAAATGCAAAAGCTTTGCACTGTTATGTTGTGAATGTACATTTATAGCTGTTTTATAACAATTTCTGTCCGGTAATAGGAAAGCACGAGCAGTATGAAAAGCATTAATAACAGGAAGCCAATGGCCACGTGAACTCGCGACTATTTCCAATAGGGTGGGCATTGCGATATAGTCTACGTTAACATTATTTTGAAATCTAAGCTGACAGTTCTTAAAACTGTATTGGTAATAGTTAAGAAAAACTGACAATGCTTATTATATATAGCAGCCCTTTAAATTACATTCAGCGCGCCGCGAAAAACACGCCTGTCCGGGCTCTGATAAAGTGATTTACTGTCTCTGATCGAATAAAATATAACGTACCTCTGTGCATCGCAATACGAATGTACGACAACTCTTAAATTTGTCGGTGCAACATAAAGTAGGTTATTTGTCCTCACCAGGGAAAAATTCATTACTTCCAGCAAAAAAAACCGATTACATTGGACATCGCTTTGCGAGTCCAAAAACTGTGTTTCCATTTTAATATGTACACGCATGTTAATTTACCAGCAGGGCATATGATTGGAGTACATCGATCAGGTGATTAAATAAAGGGGGATATCATTGGATGTGATTGAGTATATATATTCATATGTCAATGAATGAGCATACATTTTACATAAGCATTTGTATAAAATAACGATACTTTGAAATACGGGTAAATGCTTTTTTGTCGACTCTGGATTGTTAAATGCGCTTTTTATAACTTTTTGTATTCATTCACAAAAATACTTAACAAACAAGTAAGCATATTTCCTCACGCTTTTCACAACACCACTTTCAAACTTGCAAATCATCATGACATCACATTTTATCATTGACGCATCATTATTATCAGTCATCTTCATCATCATGATATCATATCAACATCAATATTACAATATATAATAGCATTCTCATAATTATTACATCATCTTATCTAAACATTCCAACACATCCAATCGTCATCATCATCATCATCATCATCAGTGATGCACGTGTTTACGGAACACAGCCCACAAAGTTTACACATAATGTATATAAGACATTGCAAAGAGTCATCATGACCTACGTGCATACGTAGTAGTGCCAAAAACATTTTCCACGGACTCATATAAAAAAAAAAACATATACCTGTCCCATCTTCACGATTTCACTCAAATACACACTCTTACGTTTCATCCTATCCAAGACTGACTTAACTTGAAATTTCCCTATTCTGTTGACCCCACGAATTTAAATCGATGAATACCACTGATATAATATAGTATGGATAGGGAGGATATGGAGAATAAGATTTGGACGCTTTGATAACATTTACGGGAGTGCCTGGGTTAAGTTTGGTTTAAGCAAAATGTTATAAATACCTTTGATTTGTCTAAATTTAACGAGATAGAAATTGTCGAATTCAATACATTACTTATGTTTGCTAAACAAAATTATCTGTCTTTACCTACAAGGCGCAAAACTGCTCACGCGCTATTATTTTGAAAACGTCACCACCGCGTCATCATTTTATGCCGCGTTACCAGGGTAACGTCATCAATTTTGTCAAACATTTCATGCTCCATTGATGATTGTGCAATCCACTTGGTTAATCATGACAACTTGTTTTTATGGTAAGAAAGTGTGAAACAAAATTAATAAAAAAGCCTTTTACTAAACATAACAACTCTGACCCATGGTTAGAGATTTCCCTGTCTGCGCCACACAGGGAGGATAGTTTCTTTAATATGATTTATAAGCAATATTTATTTGGTAAGAAACAAATAAAAATAAAAATGAAACGGTCCTTTATCCTTTTTTTTCCAATTCAAAGTCTCGCGAATGCGTCGTTTGTAGAACTTTCACGATAATAAGTGTACACTAAAATCAGGTGATTTTCAGAAACCAACATTATATCAATGATAATACCTATTTTACCGGATTTTCCGAAAAGGAAATTGTAATAATCATATATGCATTTTTTAAAATACTTATTTAAGTGTCAGATGCGTCAAATTATTCCACTATAATACTTTACATTTAGCCGATAATTCGTTTTAACTTTGCTTTATTTTATGTAACACGTATAAAACGTGTGTCGTTGTCGTTTTCAAAATTATTGTCGATTGTAAAATTGTCGCTTGTACTTCCTGAATAACAGAATCACATGAATCTCACAGTCGATTCCAGCAAATTTAGCATGCACTGAAGTAAAGTTCGTGGTGCCATTTACTGGCGATTACTTCATCTGTAAATTGCAGATTTAAAGAACATAATAACTCTTCAGTCAGTTTTGTGAATCACGTGGTCGTAATCAGATTCAGCCCCTTCAGCCCCAGTTGACATATTTCGTTTCTGGAATTCATCGTAATTACCCTCCCTTGTTGAGCAAGATTGAGCAGTAGCGTAGAACGAGTCTCGCGCACCTTCTTTGCCGTTGTCTGTGCCGGTCTGCATCTCGTTGTAAATGCCGTCCTGCATTGGAAATGCTCTTTCGTACGCGTTTGATTCGCACACATTCGACTTCTGCTTAATATTGGATTTCTTGTCCAGTTTATCATAGTTGCCTTCATCCATGGTTTCTGTTTCATATCCATGGGTTTCGATATTTAACCCACTTCCAGATGCAGCATTGGTACTAGTTTCTACAACCTGCATTTGTAGGCCAAACCTACCGGGAGTCTGTCCGCCTCCAATCTCGGTGTAGTCATATTGCTGACGGGTTTCGTGCTGCAATGCCCTCGACGTCTTTTTTCTATAACATATATAGATACTTTATTCTATTTAGTTCATACTCATAATTCTTTTAGATTATTCAATAAATAATGTAATTCTGTATAAATTCTTTGATTGATTGATATAACTTCCGGTTAGCGCCTGATAAGGCTTGCTCCCGAAGGCTCCTGACAAATTTTGTGTTTTTCACGAACATACTTATTTACCAACACTGAAATTTACCATATTATCATTTGAATAGTTCGAGATCAGTCTCGTCTATAATTAGAGCTTTTGAAATTGGAACTTTGTTGTCATATTTGGCTTTAATTTTGTATATCAGAGGACATAACTTTAACCGATGGGCGAGTTGTCTACAAACGCACACTCGTCCAGGTGTTATTCTGAATTTCTAGTCAGTCAATACAACATACCTTTTTTAGTTAAGTATTTTTGTATTTACTAAACATTTCTTTCACATTTGACTTACATTTCAAGCTTTTGCAGTTATACAAGAACCGTAATAATCATTTTTGGTCAATTATATTTCTGGGCTTGGATAGACGCCATCTTTGTTTTACCGTCAATTTTTGCCCCGTATATCTGACCCATCTCGGTATCCTCTCTTAGCTTTTGTTCATTCTTGCTAATACCATTTAAGTTGTTTGGGATCATTCTCGTCTATAATTAGAGTTTTTGAATTTGAAACTTTGTCGTAATTTTTGGATTTTAATTTTCGTATATCAAAGGACAGAATTTTAACCGCTGGGCGAGTTGTCTACATTTTGTTGATGTTGTTGTGACGAAGTGACGTCTGTAAAATAAATTTATCATTCATATTTGTACTTTTTGAAACATTCTTTTCACATTTGACTTAGATAATACAAAAACTGTAATTATCATTGTGGTAAAAAAATCAATCAACCAAAAAAAAAGAAGAAAAAATCAAAAAAAATCTGGGCTTGGATAGACGCCATCTTTGTTTTACCGTCAATTTTTGCCCCATATATCTAAACCATCTCGGTATTCTCTCACGGATTTTGTTCATTCTTGCTTATATAAACGAAATCATCTGCTCGTGAAACATTATTTTTTTTCTTCTGGAAAGTTAATATATAAATACAATTTTAAGGACAAATTTTGTGAATCGTCATATTTTTGATTTGTAAGAGACATATCGTCACAAATGTGTCAACTCGTTAATTTAAGAGGCACAAATTAAAATTGGGACCACCAGCAGGCCTGCAGCATCAATGCAAATAATTTATAGTACTTAGATCAATATCAGTATTATATTTTGACTTAATGATTCTTGATAACAGTTCAGAATAGTAACGTTATTACTCTAAGATCTGAATAAAACTCTCTGATGCTGTTTGTAGTAATTTTCTGATGCCATTTGCAATATGAGTGAGTCCAATTCCAGTATCGGTATCAAAATCAGACATTTGGTAGATATCTTCTTTGACATTTTGTACTATTGTACTACTATTTTGTGTTTGTTCTTGTTTCGCTTATGTTGTAAATACTAGAGATTGTACATTCATATATGTTTAAATATAGTAGATCTGTTCTCCTGCCACTTAGACCAGTGAGTCATAATATTACAACACATCTTTTAGAGGATTTTAAGGCATCAAATTCGGAGAAAAACTTGCGCACTAGACGTGGGACACGGGCAGGAAAGGGTGCTGTTAGGCGAATACCAAGTGTTATCGGTGTTAAATCAAACGGAATCAGTGGTTTTACTAACTTGGGCCTTAACACTGATAACCTCATCCATTTGGTCACTACAAATGGTCTGTCTGCCTCGCACTCTTTCTTGCAGGGCCAAACTGCGCTTACAGAAGTATCGGGCATCGACACTGTTGTGCATTCTCGTAACGATACTTCCACACGGATTCCGACATCACCAGTATCGTTCGAGAATTTACATGTCATCAGGCCAACAACAGCTGGTCACTGTAAGTCAGTTATTCCTCTTAATTTAGTGTCCTTAAACTATCGCTAAGTGAAGAATAAGTCATTGTCCATCGGGGATTTTGTAACATCTCAGGACATTGACATTCTTGCATTGACAGAAACCTGGTTAGGTTCAGATATCGATGACCAGGTCCTAGCTGAGCTAATACCAACAGGCTATGAATTCCACCACAATGCTAGACTCGGCAAACGTGGTGGTGGGGTGGCTGTTCTGTTTAAGAAAGGCCTAAGTGTGAGACATCTCTCTTCCAGCCATGATGATGTATACACACACTTTGAGCACATGACTTGTTCTGTCATTGCTGGTGATAAACAATTTAGATTGTGTATCATTTACAGGCCTCCACCATCTAAACACAATGCTTTCCGAAATACAGTGTTTTTTGATGAATGGTCTACCTTTTTAGACCACCAAGTTGTTGTACCACAAGAGATTATTATCACGGGTGATCTAAATTTCCACTTAGACGATCTATCTAATGTTGATGCTCGCCAGTTCTCTGGTCTGCTAGATTCCAGGGGTCTGATTCAGCCTGTGACAGAAGCTACACACATCCAAGGCCACACACTGGATGTGGTCATAACGAGGGAAGATAACTCAGTCATTCATGGAGCTATTTCAGTGATTGTTCCATGTCTAAGTGATGTAAAGGGAAACCAATCTGGTGATTATCTTGCTGTCCACACAACACTGAATTGCAGTAAGCCAGCTCGTGCAAGGAAAGAAGTGAGCTTCCGGAAATTCCGCGAAATTTCAATACCAGATTTCAACAATGACATTCAGTCTTGTTCCGCCCTTCAATCTACTGAAGGCGAGGTTGATGATCTTATTGAAGCATACACATTTGGTATAGAAGCCCTTATAGAGAAACACGCACCTCTGCAAACTAAGGTGATAACTGTGAGACCAAATGCCCCGTGGTATAATGAAAATCTCCGCGTGGAAAAACAGAAACGTAGACAAGCAGAGAGACAGTGGCGACGGACCAAATTAACCGTTCACCAACTGATTTATAGAGAGCAATGTCGGCTAGTTGGTTCACTGCTCTTTCAGTCAAAGAAGGCTTATTATTCGGAAAAAATCGAAGGATGTGGCAAGGATAAAAGACAACTTTTTAGACTCACCAAAAACCTAATGGGACAGAAAGGTGAAATTATCCTACCAAGCTGTAATTCTGAAAAAGACTTAGCAAGCAAGTTCAGTGATTACTTTCTGAATAAAATCAGCTCAATCAGGAAAAATATTACCGAAGTGAACACCTCTGCTGACATTGACATCTCTGTCATGACTGCTGACATTGCATTTGATGGGGAACCATTGACAAAGCTCTCACCAACAACCCAGGACGAGTTGCGCAACATTATCATGACCTCGCAATCGAAGTCCTGTGAGCTTGATCCACTGCCTACAGACCTATTAAAGCAATGTCTTGAAGCACTGCTTCCTTTGATTACCGCAATCATGAATAAATCATTGGTTGAGTCAAAGGTTCCATTATGTTTCAAGAAGGCACATGTCAGACCATTGTTAAAAAAGCCTGGAATGGACAAGGAGGAGTTGAAAAACTACCGCCCAGTTTCAAATCTGCCTTTTCTGTCTAAGATCTTGGAGAAGGTTGTGTCCCGGCGTTTAGAGGTTCATCTCCATGCAAACAGTCTCCATGACAACATGCAATCGGCCTACCGCATGGGACACTCTACTGAGACGGCCCTCCTACGTGTACATAGTGATATAGCTTCTGCATTGGATAACAAGTGCAGAGCGGTGCTTGTCATGCTGGACTTGTCAGCTGCATTTGACGTCATCGACCATGGCATACTTTATAAACGTCTGGAATACTCTTATGGAGTGACTGATACCGCACTATGCTGGATACAGTCATACCTGAGTGAACGACGACAGTGTGTTGCCATCGGATCTGCCACCTCACATGACAAAGTACTAGATTTCGGGGTTCCTCAAGGGTCGGTGTTAGGACCACGAAAATATTGTATGTACTCCAAACCGATTGGAGAGATTTGTCGTCGCCATAGCCTTCGCTATCATTGCTATGCTGATGACACACAAATTTACATGGTCATAAAACCACAGGACAGTTGGAATACAGTCTCAGAAAGTCTGGAAGCTTGTCTGACAGATATCAGTATCTGGATGAACGCCAACATGCTTAAACTTAATCAGGAAAAGACGGAACTAATCGTCTTTTCCCCAAAGTGTCAGCAAACAATGGCTCTCCAGCTCAAGGTTGGTGCCAGAACTATTGAGACTGTTCCAGCTGTTAAAAACCTAGGGGTATACTTTGACAGTTCTCTGAACATGGAGAAACAAGTGAACGCTATTGCCAAATCCTGTTACTACCAGATCAGGAACATCGGCTGTATTCGGCAGTTTCTAACTGCAGATGCATGCAAGATTTTGGTGCATTCACTTGTTACCTCTCGGTTGGATTATGGTAACGCCCTGCTCTGTGGTATATCTGACAAACTAACTAGTCGTCTGCAGAGGGTTCAGAACACTGCAGCACGGCTAGTTACTCGTACTCGAAAGAGAGAGCACATCACACCTGCGCTTTATTCGTTGCACTGGTTACCTGTACGATACAGGTCGCAGTACAAAATTCTGGTATACACATACAAGGCACTGAATGGAACAGCTCCTCAGTACCTACAGGAACTTGTTACCCTGTATCAGCCGACAAGATCACTACGGTCGGAGTCAGAATCTTTGTTGTGTGTCCCAAAACCTCGTACTGTGACCTACGGAAACAGATGCTTTGGGAGGGTTTCGGCTACGTTGTGGAATAGCTTACCATCTGCTATTAGGAAGTCAAATACCCTGGCCAAGTTCAAGAGGGACATACAAATTCACCTCTTCACGTCTGCATTTTAGAATCTTTGCAAAGACGTCATGTAAATACCACCCTTTTATTTGTTCAATTATGTACACATTGCTTGTTAAATGTATATAAGTGATTGCAAGCCTTTGTTGTTTGTTTCCACAAGTAAAATCATTACTATTATCCATATGTTGTAAAGCGCCTTAGAATAATTTTACAAATTATATAGGGCGCTATATAATGTTGTATATTATTATTATTATTATTATTATAAAGACAGACTCTACTGATTTTTATCAGTGAACCTTGGTTTACGCAGTAACAGAAGGATACGGAGTACGGTAACCTCTACTGATCTTTATCAGTGAACCTTGGTTTACGCAGTAACAGAAGGAAACGGAGTACGGTAACCTCTACTGATCTTTACAGTGAACCTTGGTTTACGCAGTAACAGAAGGATACGGAGTACGGTAATGATTGTTAAGCACCCAATGTATCATTTTGTTCCAGTTTTGTTTAAAAATCTTTTTAGTTCTTCCAAATTTAGGTAAGATGATTGGGAAATGTAACAGATACTGAAAAAACTATGCAACATAAATTCTATACACATAAATACAGCGTCACATAACAAAACAATTGGAACGTCCACAGAAGGAAATTAGAAACTAGAAAGGATATGGCTTGTTAAACAGAAGTATTGTATCACATTACAAACAATGGGGAATCGAATGCTTATACTGATATGATGATTATTCAAGAAATTGTGTTTTTCATAGTCATTCATAGCCAGGGTTTAATATGCAATTACAATGTTAAACTAGACATATGTCAGAATGACATGAACGTCACCCCATCATTCTGTATGATCATTTCCCGATAAATCATTGACCAAGCTACAACGGACATATTTCCACCTGTCAATCAAAATGGGAAACAATGACCAGGTGTAAATACATACATACTGTTCAGGTAGTCATGCCAACACATGGAATTAATAAGAAAGCATGTCGCAAATATAACGTTAGCGTTGACCGACACCTCGAATACGGGGAGATCTGCGCGCTGACACGGTCACCTGGCATGGGCAGAACAGGTAATTAGAATATAAAGATGTTGTTTTCACAACAATAAGTTTCAGAAAAGATTCAATCTTATATACGGATAAATCTTTTACTTTTTGTTTGTTATGCAATACATTTTTCCAAGTATTTTTCTGATCGTCTGCAAATCCGACTGAATCGGTCATCGATATCGGCAGAATGTGTACGCATAAAGGCAGTCACTCCGACGAGGACCGCCAATAGCCGAATTCGCGATACAATTGTGATTTCAGCAATTCTCCTTCGAAAAGAAAAGATCGGAATGTATTTGGCTATTTTGAACCCGTTATTATTTATTTTTCAAACTCAAACTTTTATCATTATCGGTTCAATTCGCATGGATGTCACCTGATAAATACTTGCCGGTTAATAGTATATAGGATCACGCGACCTTGACTCTTTGCGGTACACAAACTTGCTAACGTCGCCACTTTACCCATGTCGTTTTGACACATTCCTACTGTCAAGATTGAAGAGTTCAGCATGATTTTACCTAATAACGACACTTTAACCACATAGTGATACATGCGATACAATTCTTCGTTATGTTTCCCGATACGTGGTATCACGGAATTAGATTGCTATCTAAGTCCGTGGTGATATTTATCAATTCACAACGTAACGTCCTAAAAAGTTGGGCCTACTTTACTCGAGTTTATTTATCCGATTCTATCGTATAATAACATGACTTAAACTTAAAATTGTTAAATTGGCAATGCAATCAGGGATTATTCAATGAAATTTAGCAGTTTTATTGCTGCGAGCATATTTCAAAGCATTTCCGAAAATCCTCGAAAAATTAACGAGAAATTGTTGCGACCAAGGACTGGTTTTGGATTGTTCTTGAGTATCGTGTACCCCCTTTCTTGAAATTTCATTTTTTCTTAAACAAGTGCGCACTGTACGAAAATATTAACGGTAGTCGTTGGTCAGACATAAAATATCTAAATCAGTCAAAAGCAATTTATAATACGACAGTTTACCTCTTCGGGAACCTCAAAGGTGCCTGATTCATACTCGGAACATCTTTAGGTTATATGTAATTCCCGTGGGAAATTTGGAACGCCTTAAGGTTTTTTATGTTTTTCCGGTTTCAAAAAGGAAATCGATATCTGAGTTATCCAAGAGCTTGTAATTAACGCCTGGTATATTCCGACCGAAGCAATACACTTAACAGCCCAAGACAACAGAGGTCAAAATCTGGGACTGAAACCGAAATTAATGGTCCCCACTAGGGTTCCCACATGGGTGACTAAAAAAAAGCAGGACAATATTAAAAGTAATGAACAGTAAAACAGTACAATGTGAAACATCTACTGTTCATTTAGATGATTGATATCTTGGAATGGGATTACTCAAATGGATAAAGTAAATTCAATGAAAAAAATCAATCAAACTAATTTAAAAATTCCACTTAACAAAATCAGTCTAATGAATAGAATCTAGCCAATTATTAAAAACAAATCAATTCAATGAGGTAAGACTTTACTGCAACTATAATATTTTCTTTCGGAACAATTTGTTTAGATCATTTATGCCAAAAGGCATTTCATTTAATTTTAGACACTTTCTTCACTGAATAGTGTCCATATTTTTCAGGATAATTTTGCATTATCAAAAATATGTGTGTATGCATGACGGTGATGGTTATCTTTGACTTTATGGATAGATTTTCTGATTTTGCGCGTAGAATATAATTGTATTATGTGCAATGTAAGAATACTTTTATGTATTAATTACAAGAGGCCCAGGGGCCTTAATAGCTCACCTGGTATTTTATTTTTCAATTTAAAACCTGCTAAGTACCATTCAGGTTTATCAAAGGAGTACAAGTAACAAAGTTGCATCTTCCATTTATAAATATTCAATTCCCTTTGCCCAAAGATTCTCTAAAACCAGTTTGGTTAGGTTAAAATCCCTTCAACGGTACAGAAGGAGAAGGATCTTTAATGTTTTCCTCTATTTCCCCTAATGGGCCCCACTAATATGCCCCAAAGAAGGGGAATCCACACACCTCAGTTTAAACAAAATTGATTCTTTTCTCCCTAAGCATGCTTCAGATTGAATTTGGTTTAAATCCCTTCACTTGTATAGTAGGAGAAAAAAATCCTCTATTTCCCCTATTGGGCCCCGCTCCTATGCCGCCAGAAGGCCCACACCCTCCGTTTATACAAACTTGAGTCTCCTTTGTCCAAAGATGCTCTAGGACAAATTTGGTCAAAATCCTTCAATTGGTTGAGGAGAAGATTTTTAAAGATTTACCTATTTTCCCCTATTTGGCCCCGTCCCTCTGCCCCCAGGGGGACCATACCCTCCGTTCATACAAAACTGAGAACCCTTTGGCCAATGATGCTCCAGACCAAATTTGGTCAAAATCCCTTCATCGGTACAAAAGGAGAAGGATATTTGATGTTTTCCTCTATTTCCCCTAATGGGCCCCACCCATCTGCCCTTAGAAGGAGGCCCACACACCTCAGTTTATACAAAATTGATTCTTTTGTCCCTAATCATGCTTCAGACTGCATTTGGTTAAAATCCCTTCACTTGTATAGCAGGAGAAAAAAAATCCTCTATTTCCCCTATTGGGCCCCGCCCCTCCGCCCCCAGAGGGGCCACACCCTCCGTTTATACAAACTTGAGTCTTCTTTGTCCAAAGATGCTCTAGGACAAATTTGGTCAAAATCCTTCAATTGGTTGAGAAGAAGAACATTTTTAAAGATTTACCTTTTTTCCCCTTATTTAGCCCCGCCCCTCTGCCCCGAGGGGGGGCTATACCGTCCGTTTATACAAAACTGAGAACCCTTTGGCCAATGATGCTCCTGACCAAGCTTCAGACTGCATTTGGTTTAAATCCCTTCACTTGTATAGTAGGAGAGAAAAAATCCTCTACTTCCCCTATTTGGCCCCGCCCCTCTGCCCCCAAAGAGGCCACACCCTCCGTTTATACAAACTTGAGTCTCCTTTGTCCAAAGATGCTCTAGGACAAATTTGGTCAAAATCCTTCTATTGGTTGAGAAGAAGAAGATTTTTAAAGATTTACCTATTTTCCCCCTATTTAGTCCCGCCCCTCTGCCCCCAGGGGGGTTATACCCTCCGTTTATACAAAACTGAGAACCCTTTGGCCAATGATGCTCCTGACCAAATTTGGTCAAAATCCTCTGAGCCATTCAGGACAAGTAGCATTTTAAAGGAAAAAGTTGACGGACGCCGGACGACGGACGACGGACGCTGCACCATGGGATAAGCTCACTTGGCCCTTCGGGCCAGGTGAGCTAATAAAACATAAAATGTAACAACTTGTTTTTCTCAAATCAAATGTAAAATAAACATCTTTGTTTACCTTTTCCTCGCCAGAATAAATATTACAGTTCCGATGACAGCAATTACCACAACAACAGATGGAATTACAATATAAACTGAAATAAATGAACACAGTATTAGGGTAGAAACATGTGTTAGTAACTCGTGTTCTTTATCTATCCTAAGATTCAGAGTAAAGCAATTCTTACAATATCTTTTATCGAGTAAAAAATCTAACATTATACTTCAGCGTTAAGTTTATTTATCCCGTAATTCAAAGCTGAGTGTTTAATCTTAATCAAACTTAAACAGAGGATTGTTTCTTTGATAGCTGACCCATGTGATGTTTAATTGCGTACTTAATATACTAATATTTATCATGAAGTTGTGTATGCAATATGTAATCTGAGAGATGTATTACTTATAATAGGTTTGGTGGCAGGAGATGGTGTGCGGTTGTCGGCAATAGATGGTGTGCTGTTGTCGGCGGTAGATGGTTTGCTGTCGATGGCAGGAGATGGTGTGCTGTCGGGGATCTGAGTGACATTCACTGAAGCAGAGTTTGATTAACATTTAAATGTAAATAAACGTTTAAATACCGCACTTTTTTTCAAAAATTTATTAAAATACTATTAGCAGATTTTTTCAACATTTATTCTTCTGTATAAGGAACCATAATAACATCAAGTCAATGATACTTGCAAGACTATGAGAAGTATTCTTAAATATGTATCATGTGAGGACAGACAAATGTATACATACTATTTTTTCGACAAGAAGCAAATGCCCGTTGTGAGCAATTCTTGCTTTCTCTCAATTCTTTTCTGATGTAAAGGCACCGTGAGGAATTTCCAAGCGTTGAATTTTCTAAAAGAAGCAGCAGGCAAACATCAACACCAGTAGTTAAATACATATGTTTGATAAGTAATCTCCTGTGTGTGCAAGGCACTGATATGTAATGTAGATAACGACGACGTTTTGATCTAATTAAACTGGCTACCAGCCCGTAAGTTTATATGAAGAATTTTTCAACTGCATTATACTACTAGCTTATTTCCCCCTAGTTTAGAACTTGGAACCGAGAATCAAACATCCAAGTGACCAAAAGTATTCGAGTTATTTTTTTTACTAAATAACTCAATATTCTAGAGACAGGAGCCAGTCTATGTGCCGATGGGCTGTACAAATTTATTTGTCAAAACGACAATTTGACTTGTTTTTACGATGTTAAGAAACAGGGCATACTCTAGCAAATTAATGTTCCTTCAACAATTTTCTACAAAAATTGATATTCGAATCTCGAAAACAATAAATTCCAGCACAAACAAAATTGTAAATATTGCTTGGTTTAGAGTTTAGCGTCCAAAAAGACTAAATAATTCTATACCATTTATCACACATCTAGAGCTACGAAAGTTTTGCCTTTGATTAAATAATACATAAAAAAAATCCACCATTAGAAATTGTATCATAAAAGTAAGTAATATACTGTACCCATCAGGAGCTTTGTAGTTGTGTTCGCTCTATTAAGTGCTATCCAGAACATTGACGAGGGTGGACTTTGTGTCAGATCTTCCCATCTACCTTTTAGTGAACCTACTCCATCAGACAAATCAGCAAGTACACCTCCATGTTTCCGACAAAATGAATTTGCATCCTTCCAGGACATTTTTTGTAAATCGTCTGTCTTGTTGACAAACAAGTCGAGATCACCTTTTCCTTTACCTAAAGCACACGGAATGAAAGACAAAAAAAGGCTTTGCTTGTCTTAGCTGAATTATAATCGATAAACATGTCCAAACGGTTATGTTTAACAAATATTATTTTGTATTTTTTATCATTTTGTATCGTTAATTTTAAGAATTGGACGCATCATTGCGGACGACAAATGTTCGATTGCACATTTTGAAATATTTTATAATTATATTGAATAACATCTGTGTATTCTATAATAATTGCATATGATACATATAGCATTGTAATTGTTTCACACTTAAAGGCCCCGGGTTGATGCATTCGAGAAGCCTAATCAAAAAGTTTACATATGATGTTCCCAGTGGGCTCCATGAACAATATTTGTTATATATGTATATATTGAATATTGCAGTCACCTCACAGTCACCTCACATTCTATAAATTAATCGATAGGAATAGTATCATACGACAGAGATAATAATTTATTTCTATTAAAATTTCAAAAGCCTCGTTTCTTCAGTTTGTCAAAATAGAGGCCGGGAAGTTGTGAACGGCTATTATTTGTCAAATAATAAGATTAACTCCCTTAATAATTTTTCGTAATTAAGGTAGAAAATGTTTAATTTCTAATTTCGATGTTCGATCTACTAATGACATAACTTGAACAATATATCAGTTGACATTAAGATTGAAGTGTTGGTGTAATTACCTTTTTTACAGATCGGGAAATGTTGTTCTTCACAATGAGCAGTTTTCATTTCACCACTCAAATTAGTATACATGCAATTGTGTTTTATAGGGGAGTCAGCTTTACATTCGTTCCGAAAACCTTTAACAGAAATGTTATAAAGTAGAAATATCATACGTTATAAGTTACGCTTATCATACGTTATACGTTACA